CGCGCGTGGGCGGGCGGGAACGTCCCCGCGCATCATCATCATCGTCGTCGTCATCATCGTCCACATTTCACTCAGCGTGAGACGGACCGCTTTGGTGCTTTCTCCCGCCTCGGTCGTTTCTCGCTTGTCGTCGTCCGCCTTCCCTTCGCTCCACGTACAGCGGCGGGTCGGATGGCCGCTTCCAAGTGCTCTCCAAACCAGCGGCGGATGCCGCTCCGTCGAGGAGGGGAAGCTCAATTTCGGCCGACATCATAAAAGGTGTCGGTTTATTTCCACGTGAATTCTACTCGCCGTTCCTCTGCAAGAAAATCAGTCTGCGAACACAAGCAAGTCCACTAAAACCCACCGGAAATAAAAGACGAGTCGTTTTCAACAAAGACGGTGTCGCAAAGATGATGAGAAGTCTCCGGTTCAACGGAATGAGAATTGAAAAATGCTCCCGCGCATGCCTCCACCAAACGATCGGTGATTGGCTCATTTCGCTGTCAATCAAAAGAGATTCGGCCTCAGACACGTCATCCAATCATCATGCGGAAAAGCTCATCTTCCTGGCCAGCCGATAAACGCCCACTGTCCATCGACTTCCCGAGACGCCGAGCGTCCGATGGGCGGGACAAAAGCAGCCTTTAGCCAATGACTCGTCTCGTTTCAATGCGTTGGGACAACCTAACCTGAACTCTCCAGACGCCCGCACAGTTGAAAGCGCAGTGAAGCTGCGGGAAGGACGCAGTTTAACAAAAGTTGAGCGCGTTGGAGCTCAAATTTCGTCAATGTCCACACAATTGCACGTCCACACCTCGACTGTATTTGAACCTTTATTTTGGACATTTTAGGCCTTGCAGTCTTCGAGCAATCGCCTCTGCTCGCAACACACTTGAGTTGAGGTCAGGTGACTCATTTGAAGAAAGCCAAGCCCAAAATGGTTGCCAACGCGCGCTTATTTTCATCGTATTTCTTTTGAAGAGGAGGCTTGAGGCACATCTTTTAGGCTTGGCTTCTTCCTCGACTTGTTTTCATTTGATCCTGTTCCATTCCTTTCTTCTTTCTTTTTTTTATCGTGCGCGACGCAGCTCCCGCAGCTCGGCTTTCGCCAAGATGCCCCCAAAAGCACGGCGACACCCAAGACCACGGGCGGGCACCCGTGGGCTCCTGACCGGACTCTTTTGGTTGGCAGTTTCCAGATGAATCAAATGGTGCGCCCTGAGAAAGCGTTTTTTACCTGACAGCCCGAAAGTCGCGGCGACGAAATGGAAGTTAGGGATGAAAATAACGCACGCGGCCTTTCGCTCCACTCTGACATGAATGGCGGCATTTTCCAGGACACATCTTTCAGGGTGCAGGAGGGCGCCCCCCCCCACCATCTGGTCGTCACTTGCGCTTGATGGTGACGGTCGCCCACGGCGCAGCGAAAGGCTCCACTGAGGAGCCGCTCAAGTCACGCGCTTGCCGACCGAGGTCGGAGGGGTTCGCGGGGGCCGGCGACCTTGGCGCTCGAGCCGCCCCCTCTCCACAAGCAGAGGCTCGGGAGGTCCGAGCGGCCTTTCTCCGCGGCGGAAGCATCAAGTGGATCTTTGGCGCCGCCTCGCGCCGGCGCGCCGCCACCGCCGCGGTAGCAAAGAGCAACTTCCGGGACGGAGGAGGCTTCCAATCCCGTTCGTCGTCGACTTGAGGTCTCGGTGTGCGCGCGTGCGTT